GGTCTCAGCGGGTTCCTAGGGGTCCTGGGGGACTTCTAGGCATGTGGGGGGCTCCCGGGGCATTGCTGGGGACCTGGGAGACTGCTAGGGGGATGAGAGGCTTCTGCACTGGGCCAGGCCCAGACCCTGCCTGGCTACCAGCATCACCTGCCTATGCCAGGGCCTCTCCTGGCTACCAAGGGAATGGATTTGGCTCTGCCAGCTCTGGGCCAGCAGGGAGAAGTCGCAGGGAGTTCGCAGCCCCCACAAGAGCTAACCCTCCTCCACAGCTGGGCAGGGCACTTGGACATATCCTGGAGGTGCAGAGGAGTCACCAGGCCCAGACCCTGCCTGGCTACCAGCATCACCTGCCTATGCCAGGGCCTCTCCTGGCTACCAAGGGAATGGATTTGGCTCTGCCAGCTCTGGGCCAGCAGGGAGAAGTCGCAGGGAGTTCGCAGCCCCCACAAGAGCTAACCCTCCTCCACAGCTGGGCAGGGCACTTGGACATATCCTGGAGGTGCAGAGGAGTCACCCCACAATCAGTAGCCATGTGCCTCTCTCCAAGTGAGAACCCTTGCCCCCGCACTAGCTCCATTTTCCAGCTTCTTCCACCTCCACATTTTTGGCTTTTGTGGTCTCCAGCCTTCAGAAGCTGTGATTTGGGACAATAGCAGAGAGGACACAGGTCAGGTCCCCTACTCACAAGAACTACCTGTCTTCCCCAGGTTTTATCCATGATCCAGACCTCCAGAGCCCTGCCCATGCGGCCAGGAGCATGAAAGTAGCCCGCTGTGGGGAAACTGAGGCAGAATCCAAAGAAGGAGCTTGCTGAAGGTCAGAGCTGGGATGGAGCTCTACTGGGCTCAACCCTTGCACTCTGACATCTCACAGAGAGATTCAGAATCACCTGGTATAACTGGCCTCAGCCTGGGATGGCTCTGGGGGAGAGCAGGGGTGGCCCAAAGTTTCACAGGACCTGCCTGAACTGAGCTCCCCTGATGGGCAGCCCAGGGCTTGAGGTGTGCTCCGGTGTTCCTAATTCAAAGGGACCTGCTCAGCTTACAAAATGGGTCCCCACGTCTCCCAGCACACAGACCCTGCATCTCTGCAGCTCCCATCCTGCAGGGCCCTCCTGCACCCACGCATGTCCTCCCTGTCCCAGACACACCTGCACAAACACAGTAAGACATGTGCAAACAAACACGCTCACACACAGGCACACACAGGAACAATGTCACCAGCACACACACGCTGACAATTTGCCATGTATTCATAGACGTGCATGAAGACACACAGGCCAACTTGTTTGCACACCTATGAGGGGCTCACACGCATGGTGATGGGTGTGCACACAAGCTCACATGCACACGTATGGTCGTGAACATGTGTAGACGTGTTATCTGTGCACGCACAAACATTCACATGGAGCTGCTTGCATGTGCAGGTACCTTCACCCGCACCCACCCAGCCCCGCTCACACCCATCCATGCATTCCCACGGGCAGGCACATGGCTGGGAGTTCCCGGGAGCCCCGTGTGCCTCCCCTCTCTCAGCGCCGCTGTGGGCAAGCCGGGAGGGAATTTCCAGCTGCAAAGCTGCAGCTGACAGATTTAGAGGCTCCCGCCCCAGCACTCGCTGGGCCAAGTTAATGGTTCACCAGCACCCTGCTTCCCCTGCCCTTCCCCACCGGCTGCCTGGGGGCAGGTGAGGAGGCACCCGCTGGTGGGCATCACCAGCACCCTGCTGCAGCTCCCCTTGCCCTGCAGTGTGCCCAGCGCTGCGCGCTCTGCTCCTGCCTTGCCTGGCAGTACCCAGTGCATGGGGCATTGCCCGCCTCAGCTGAGAGCCCCGGTAGCCCTTTTGCAGAGGGGTGGATGGCAAAGACCCCGTGCCCTGTGCTGCTATGGTGTGGAGGGCAGCCACAGTAGCCTGGACCTCTCTGGCCAGGCTCTGGCTCCACTGACATCCCTTGGGGGATCCTCTGCCCAGTGTGGCATTGCCAGCTGAGCAGGCACTGCGCACACACGTTCCCCTCTGCAGTTACCTAAACCCCCACACTGGGTAAGGCTGGAGAAACCACTTCCCACAAGCTCCTTGCAGCATGGGAGGGACCCCCTCAGAGATCCCCAGAACCTCTGGAGCAGAGGGATGGCAGCCTGCCCTGCTGGGCAGCCAGGCAGGCGGCTCCTTCCCTGTGTTTGCCCATGAGGGGCATGGGCTGATCAGGTTACCAAGACATGCCTGGCACCGTGCCGGCCAGGTGAGGCTGCACGTGGCCCACGGCATGCCAAGCAAATGCCTCGCATGCCACCAAGACAACAGTGTCAGCACCGCACAGGGCTTCTCCATGCCAGGCCCTGCCTCAGGGACTGCAGCGATGGTGGCTGAAGAGAGAGTGAAAAGAACAGAGGATACTGTCAAGAAACTCGCAGCCCATCACCATGGTGTCAGGGCAGCTAGCCGCACCTCCTGCATGAGAGGTGAGTGGAGGGACCGTGGACTGCAGGTCACCACAAACATCCCAGGTCAGGTGGTGGTGAGACACAAACTGGCATCCCCAAGCCGTGGTGGTCGCGGATGATGGGAGGAGAGCACCCACCCAGCCTGGGTGCTGCAGAGCAGGGCAGGGGAGCGCTTGCCTTCCCCCACACTCATCTCCTGGCTCTACAACCATGGAGAAAAGCAGACAGCAGATAAAAAAATTAGCTGGGCTCTGCCACAGGTCCCAGAATGACCAGCATGGCCAGCAGGAACAGGAGGCTGGAGGAAGTCCGGCTGATCGGGACTCATGGCCGGGGCAGGACAGCTCTCGGGCCTGTCCTGTCCCAATACGGCGGTCAGCACTTCCCAGCCCTCCCCAGGAAGCGCTGTGGCACACCGGCTTTAAATAGCTTTATTAGTGGTTTTTTAGCCCCCACCGTGGGAGCCATGGGGATGCCAGGCAGCCCCATGCCATCCCCTGGGGAAGCTGGGACTCCACAGGGCACAGAGCTGGGCTCACCCATGCTGTCGCTGCCACCGGCTCAACCTGTCTCTGTCCTGAGGGGGCTGCAGTGTGAGCCTAGGGGTGGCGCCCCAAATTGTCCTCACCCGATCCCAGGTCGTCAGACGCAGAGGCTGAGCTCCTGACGGACGGAGCACTTGCGGCACTGCACCACGCAGCACCAGTGGAAGCGGCAAAGGCAGTTCTCCTCCAGCACCACTGTCTCGTCCCGGTGGCCTCGCCCGCCTCCCCCATTTTTTTGTCCATGGCCGTGCTGTTGCAGACGCGGCCCCGGGTGCCCAGCGAGCCCGTCTTACGGTTAGCCGAGCAGAAATCAGGCGAGTCGGCCGAGTAGATGAGGTCCTGTTTGTCGGGAGGCTTGATGTTGTCCCCCACAGGGATGAGGGTTTTCCCGTCATTGCCCCCCATCACCTTGAAAGCCCCGTTGAAGCGCTCGAGCAGGCGGTCCCCCACCTCGCGGAAATGGGGCATCTTCCGCCAGCAGGTCCGCAGGGTGCAGGAGCCCGACAGCCCGTGGCATTTGCACTCTGTCCTCATATAGCTGCGCACCGCCTGGGGAAGAGACAGCGAGGCTCAGTCCTCGGACCCCACCTCCCTGCCCAGCACCCCCAGCCAAAACCCTGCCTCTTGGTGCTGCCCTGGCCTGGGGAAGAGTGGGGGGGACGGAACACACAGGGGGTTTCCAAAGCACCTGCAAAGGGGTCCTGAAAGATATTGGGTCAATATTTCACCCAAAGTTGGTGCAGATACGTGGCTTGGGGGAGATAAAGGTGGAGGGATGAGCTGGGCAGGGGCACAGGGGGGTGATGCTTGTGGAGGGCAGGGAGTGTGGGGGCCTTACCAAGCGCCCGGCTTCGTTGTTGTGCAGGTCGATAAGAGCTCGGATGTCATTTTTGCCTTTCTTGCTCTTGGCATCCATAAACTGCTGGGATTTCTCGTAGCCGAACTGCACGTCATCCCCACAGCCCCCCCACTCCCAGGCTGTGCCCTCTGTGCCAGGACCTGCCGTGGGTGAGGGGGGACACCGGCTCCGAGTC